GAAGTTTTTTTATTCTACTTAAAACAACATGTGTGCTTTTTGACATTGATTTTGAATTGAAGGTTGTTTTTTCATTTAAGACTTTTCATTTATAATTGAAATATTGGATGCTCAAATTACTTATGCTCAATATAATATTTGTGTACACCTTTTTCTTTATGGATCAAAATTCAAAAGGGTTCTATATCTTTGCTTTTATCCTTTCCAATAGGTGGATCCCACTTTTAGCTTTCATTTTCAAACATAATGACAATAGATGTAGGCTCCACAAAAAATTATCATTTATGTCTTTTTTTAATTTATTATATACAAATTACATAAAAATATTATAAATTATAATAATTTTTAATATATAATTTAAAATATTAAAAAGCTATAAAAAATTTAGTTAACTTTTAAAAATTTATCTATGCCGCATAAATTGAGACAAAGATAGTACTAATATATACTCCTTGTGTCAAACGATAGTTGTCTATAATTGATTTGTCAAACACTTTAGGAAACAATAATTAATAGTAATATTACTCTTTTGAATATATTTAAATTTAATAGCAAGGGTAAAATAGATATAACATGATAAATTATCTTTTGATTTTTCAAACAGGACAAGTATTGTTAGACAACTATTTTTAGTATAGTGAAAAAGCAAAGATGAAACAAAGGAATATCACCTAAGAAATTACATATAAAGTATTATAAATCATAACAATTAACAATTTAAATGTCTAAAAACCTTATAAAATATTGGTTGACTCGAAATCTCATCTTTATATATAAATTAAAATAAAAGAAGTAAAATATATAATTGAATATTGCGTAAAGATACTATGATTACAATAATTATCAACTTAAATATCTAAAAGTCTTATAAAAAATTGATTGATCTCAAAATTGGAACGAATGAGGTAATCCATATTATATAAAATTTACATTGAAAAGGTACTATAAATCACAATGATTAACAACTTAAAATTGATATAAAAAAAATTATTGACGCTCAAAACTCCATCTTTGTCACAAAATGGAACCAAAGGAACACATATATTATGTGAAAATACATTTCAAAACATACAATAAATCATCATAACTAACAATTTAGAATATTCAAAATGCATATAAAAAAATTGATCAACTTAAAATTTTATTTTATATCATACAAATGAAAATGTATATATTGAATCTATGCTAACTCAAATATGGTAGTATTTAATTTAATTTTGTTTTATAAGAATATGGCCTTAAAATGGAAGTGGACCACATAGTAGTTGAGACCCCCTATATAGTTGTTAATGGATAAAAACAAAAGGGGCGCTCCCTTCTCTAGCAAACATGTGTAGTGCTATCGACCACTAGCTCTAAATAGTTTTTTTTTTTTTGGGCTATTTGGTGTTCGGAGTTTATATTAGAGTCTCGATTAAATTTAAATTATATATTGTAGGATCTATTTAGAGGTGATACTCTCGATAAAAGAAAATCATACTTGAGTATCAAATTAAAAATCTTTGATTAAGTTGAAGTAATCATACACAACAACTCGTAATGACTCTGAATAGACTTTTCATTTTGGATAATATCCTGTTGGTTTAATTTAATAATATAATATTTTTTTCTTGACAAATTAGCGATTTAATGCGATTTATTAATTTCCTTTGTACATCCCTAATTCTCATGAATCGTGATTAAACAACATCTTACTACTTCAAAAATATATGAAAAAGTGAGAAAGATATTTTTAAGCGAGGTTGTATCTTAAATATAATTTCTATGTATATTGGATATACTATATGTAATAAAATTTATTTATTGGAAGTGTCCATTGCGTAATGTAATTCGACTTTAAGGGTGTTTTTGGTATGAAGGAAAACATTTTTCAATTTTCTTATGTTTGGTTGGATTAAATGTTTTGGAAAATATTTTTCAAATCAACTCATTTTTCTCAAATTTAAGGAAACTGACTTCCCTTCAAATTTAAGAAAAACATTTTCCAAAACTCTCTTTCAACTTCAAATTACAATTTTTTTTTTGTTGAAAAATCAATTTATTTTGTCCCTACCCTCAAACCAGCCCCCCCTCCAAAAAAATAATAATTTAAAGCTTATTTTTAAAAAATGTTTTTAACTTCAATTTTTTTACCCCACCCTCACCCCTACCCCCAGCCCCCTATCACCCC